AGAGAGAGAGAGAGAGAGAGAGAGAGAGAGAGAGAGAGAGAGAGAGATTACTAGCAAAGTCCTAAATCATGTAGGAGTTAGATATAAGTTAGAATAAAATAGGACTGGTCTCAATAATCTTCAGGAATGGGAAAGAGCACCACCTAGTGGTTCCTATGGATCATGGCTTTCAAATATGGGTGTGCAGCCATGGACCTGATCCCACATTTCATCTCTACAAGGTATTGATCTCACATGTTTTTGCAGCAAAAGAAACCTAAGGCTATACAGAGAATTTTGAGGTTGTGCAAACACCCAAAGGACTTGGACTGAGTAGAAGCGTTCCTTGTCTCGTTTGCATGCTTGTTTGGGGCAGCTTGGCATGACAACCCCCCCTCCCCCATTATTTTGATTTCCTCCCTCATTGTAAGTTTTTGGTCAAGTCTTTCACAGATTGTCACCCTGTGAGGAAATGAAGAGTATTAGAAGGGCTGGAAATGTAGGAGCTGTTAAGAAGAAAGAGTCATCGAAGCGACAGAGTTTGTGATTGGCTCTATACCGGCCCAAAGTTTCACTCTCTTTGCTGTGACAAAATACCCAGACAGAAAGCAATTTAAGGGAGAAAGAGATTGTTTTACCTCACAGTTTCAGACTGATGTCCGTAACTGTGGGGAAGTCGAGGCAGGTGCTTCCAACCTCCAGTCAAGAACAGAGAGAAATGAATGTGTACCTGCTTGCTTGTGCTCAGCTAGGCTTCTCCACTCTGATACAGTTGAGGGCCCTGTGCGTAGGGAATGGTGCTGCTCACAGTGGACTGGGTCTTCCCACCTTAATTAAAATAAGGAAATCCCCTACAGACATGCCCCTGGGCCATTCTCAGTGAGACTCTTTTCAGGGATGATTGTAGGTTGTGTCACGTTGACAATCACTTTTATATGACCTTTGTCCTACAAGGCTATCTTCTTCTTTGAAGACTTTGCATGCTTAGCTTCACCTTTCTGTGTAATGGGTGTGTATATCTAGGAGCTAAGAGGGTTATCTTCAGTTGTCAAATGGGAACCCATGCTTTTATGCTCTTAATTTTAGCTGCAAGACAGGTAGCGAGAAGAAATTGGTCGGCTTATTTCCACTGAGGTCAAAAGACAGTGACCCTCGTATGTCATTT